AAAGGATTGACTTTGCTATGGTTAGAAAGTACATTTTATTTGCTTCATTGTAGTCTGCAATGGTAGTTCCCAGCTTGGTCTACTTAATGCACTATAACTACCTGCTTTAAGAACTAAGGTGAAAGGTGAAAGACTCATATGTCTGTCAATTAAGTTTTTCAAAATGAAAAGTATTAAAAGGATTCCCTTTGCATAGTTTTAAAAGTCACGCTCCCTTTTGAGAAACACAAATATCAGGTTCTCCTTTTAAAAACTTAAAATTTATAAGTAAGTGATATATTTAAAACAACTAATACATAAAAATTTTTATGAAATATATTTTTATTTTGATCTTAGATACTTTTCATTATTGTTGTTATGTCAATAATTCAAAATCAGCATGAGTATCAAGGCTGCCTATACATCCCACAAACTTTTCCATTCCTGGAAATGTGGAAAAATCAAGAACATTATTCAATAATTTCAACATTTGGCCTGTTGTACTGTTTCATTTTAATAACCAGAAGGGCAGGTAAAAATAGATGATAGGCCGAAACCGGTTTGGCTCAGTGGATGGAGCGTCAGCCTGCGGACTGAAGGGTCCCAGGTTCGATTCCGGTCAAGGGCATGTACCTGGGTTGCGGGCACATCCCCAGTGGGGGATGTGCAGGAGGCAGCTGATTGATGTTTCTCTTTCATCGATGTTTCTGACTCTCTATCTCTCTCCCTTCCACTCTGTAAAAAATCAATAAAATATATTAAAAAAAATAGATAGATAGAAAGATAGATAGACAGATAGACAAATGGATGAGAAGGAAGGAGGGAAGAAGGAAGGGAGAGAGGGTAAAATGAAGAGAGGGAGTTTGGGTTTGTTTCTCATTTAAGAAAGTGTTGCCTCCATTCCCTTGAATTCATTAATTTAGAAAATTCCCAAAGGAATCTCAGATCAAAGCCATGTGATCTAGAAAACTTCTCAAGATTTCCTTTAATCAGCTTAACCAAATGACTACTGCCAAAGCTATTTCACTTAGTTATGCTTAGGGCTAATTTGAAGCCCCCACCACACAATTAGGAAACCTAGTTGATATGGCTGCCCAATGCCGAAGACAGAACTTACAATATTGCAATTTAAGAAACTCAGTTTGGAAAACATGATTTACAAACACATATGATATTGAAATCCAACTCTTCACCCTTTGTTGGGATTACATCTATCCTAACAGCTCAATGTTCGGTCAAATTACAAAGTCAGTTGTAAAAAAGTCTAAAGTTGCTACACTCCTATCTATTTCATTGGCTTTACGCTATTTACATCTATAACTAGGTACTTCTAGTAAATAAGATTACAACTGTGCCTTATATAAGAAAAATCTCACTGCAGTTTCAGATATATATATATATATATAGCTATAACAATAAAATTTCATAAGCATTTTTAAAATGCTCCCTTTAACATACACAGTAGTAAAAATATATAAAGTAAATGAACAGCCGGCTGGTGTAGCTCAGTGGTTGAGCCTCAACCCATGAACCAAGAGGTCGCTGGTTCAATTCTAGGTGAGGGCACATGCCCAGGTTGCAGGCTCAATCCCCAGTAGGGGGCATGCAAGAGGCAGCCAATCAATGTTTCTCTCTCATTGATGTTTCTATCTCTCTAGCCCTCTCTCTTCCTCTCTCTCTAAAATAAATCAATAAGTCTTGATTCAAATGAAATTGTGCCTGAAGCTCTACAGATTCCTTAAAATGTTCTCACATATCTTAATGTGGTTTGTAGGTACACATGGCATGGAAAGTTTTGGGAAACAAAGGCAATGTGGCTCTTGCACACCAACGTGCAATCACAGCATCACTGGATGTCTTTAAAAATAAATGCTTAGCCGAAACTGGTTTGGCTCAGTGGATAGAGCGTCAGCCTGCAGACTGAAGGGTCCCAGGTTCGATTTCAGTCAAGGGCATGTACCTGGGTTGCGGGCACATCCCCAGTGGGGAGTGTGCAGGAGGCAGCTGATCGATGTTTCTAACTCTCTATCTCGCTCCCTTCCTCTCTGTAAAAAAATCAATAAAATATATTTTAAAAAAATAATAAAAATAAATGCTTAAACTGAAATAATTTGTCTAACAACCTCTTTTCTTTAGCATGAATATGAAAGTGTGTGTATTTATGAGTGTGTCCTAAGGATCTCCATAAACAAGGATTTCTAACGCAACATAAACAAGTAGTAACAAAACGGCCTATGAAGCAGGTTGCCAGGGCTGTAGAACAATGAAGGTACAGAATACAGAAGAAACAGAGAAATACAGCTTTCAACTGACATTAACATTTTAACGTGAGATTATTTAAAACAGCACATTTCTACCTATTAATATCCCCATGGTTACGAAAGACAAGAATGTATTCCATACAGATTATAAAAATCATATTTGTATATGTAATATTAGTACTGGCTGGGGATTGTGCACTGTAAAATAAAAAATGTAATAGATATTCAGTAAGCATTTTACTCACTAATTACGACTTTGTAATTTTTGTAACTTTGTATTCTCAGATGTCAGGTACTTACCTGGAAATTGACATCTATTTGGTTGCTAAGAGATATGAGATCAGTTTGCACTTTTTTCTCTGTCTTTAGGAGAATTGCCCTCTTGGGTTTTGCTCAAAGTAGAGAAAGTTAACTGTTACCCCAGTGGGGATTTATATTACTTGTACTAAAAGAAAACCCCCAGGTTTCAGAAGAAAAATGAATTACTTTCAATTTGCACAATTTAGAACAAATATCTGGCTTTTCCCTAAGCATAATGATTTTCCATCTCACACAACTAAAACATAATAGCATTATTTTATAATCAAATTTTTAACAGATGAGTCTATGTTATGCATATTATGACAAAAAATCTTATGAGAAATGAAGTCCTTCAGTCAATTTGCATCCCCAAAGTAAAGCTCAAACCCAACATTTTAAAAGTATTTTCTGCACGTGTGCTTCTTTAAACAGCGGTGGGGACTAGACTAAACTTGGTCTATCTGGATTTTCTTGTATTTTGTCAAAGCATCAAAAAAGCAAAATGCGGTTATAAATATGTACATCCTAATTGGTCATTAGTTTATCACAAATGTAAATACTGACTTGCCTAACCAAAGAGAATGTTCTCCTAAAGTAAGAGCAGCATTTCAATCAGCACATGTTTCCTAATGACACTGAGCATCCAGACTGTCTTCACATGCACATTTCATAACCTTTCAAGGACTATCTTCTAAATCACATTTTAAAGAATTACGCTGAAAAAGCATTCCATCGCAGGAGCACTGTGTATTACTACAATCCCAAGCGATTCCATTTTTATCCCCCAGGTACTTATTACAAAAGCCCTGGATCATTTCTTCTGAATTCATGTCAACGCCTTCCTGGAGTAGATCGCAAAGGAGCACGAGGTAATGCATTTCTTTGTCTGCTGAGACGATGACCACTTGCCCAGTCCTCTTTTTGCCCAACTTCCTGCACACGTCAACCAGCTGGCCCGTTGGTGAACCCTGGCGCCTTACACTCTGCTTTAGCATTATGTCAAACCAGTGACCATCTCTGCCCAGCACCCATTAAGAAGACTCCTGTTACAAGCAAGGTCTCTGAAATGTAGCTGTACAACTCTAACAGGGCTATCGAGTGCCCATCTTGAGGGGAGAAGATGAATTTATCCTGTTTTCTAGGCTTTTACCTATTTTCTAGAGCCACACCTTTTCAAACAAGTTCTGCCATTCTGAGAGGAAGGAGATACGGAAAATGTAACACCTGGAGTCATAAAATGTAATGACCTCAAGTAACATCCCAGAAAGAGGGAGGAAACCTGTTCCCAGAAGGAAAACAACAGGCAAAGGAGCGAAGCTGCATCATTGAAGCAAGAGGAACCGAAACCCCTCCCGGGTGCTTCCAGTTAAGTTTTTGCAGCGGCAGCAGCAGCACAAACCTAATCAATATGCACATCCTCACTCTTCTAAAACCTCCTGCCCCCAAACAGAAACAGCCGGTCCCTCTCCATGGGCGGGGGGAGGGGGGCGAGGAGCACGGGGGGGGGGGGGGGGGCCGGGGGGGGGCGGGGGCGGGGTACGCGCAGAAAGCACACCCAAAGGAGGTGATTTCAGAGGCAAAACAGGTCTTTGTGGCTCCAGCATCCTCTTTTTAAGTCCCAGCTACCAGCCCGAAAGTCCGCGCAGGCACCAACCCCTAGCCTCTAGCTAGCCCTCCTCGGGCCTGGGCCTGCCTGCCAGAGGTGCCTGGAGAGCCGGCCGCGCAGTTTTCCAACTCCACCCCGGCCCGCCCGCCCCCCGCGGCCTCACTCCAAGGCCCTCGATTTCCAACCCCTTGGTGGGAGCTCTTTGAGGAAGGACAAGTGATGCTTGGTGGCTCCGAGCAGACGTGCCTGGCTTCTCTGCTGGAATGAGTTGCTGGGGTTGGGGTGGGGGTGGTCACGGAGAGGGAGACCCTGGACTAGGGGCAGCTAAGCCCTCGGTATTAGTGACCCTCACTCCCACCCCCACCCCTGACCCTCGCCTCAATGAAGAGAGGAGGCGGGAGGGCGGGCGGCGGCAGCTTTGCGGCCGGGATGAGACTGAGAGCGAGCCTGAGGCCGCCGCAGGTGCCCCAAAGGGACCGCACAGGTGGGCGCAGCCTGGGAAGGTCAGTGAGGCCAGAGCTGAGAGTTGGCGGGGCCCGGGGTGTGAGGGGGTCGGGGTGACCACGCGCGCTGGCCCGGCCGAGGGGCGCTCGGCGAGAGGGTCATCTCGACGACAGGGTTACCAGCCTCCAAGGAAACACGCACGGCCTCCCCCTTAGGCGGCTGGGCTGGAGGGGCTACCGGGGCTGCCAGACCGAGAAACTTGATGCAAAACACACAGGCTCCCCGCGCCAGGACGTATCCCCGCGCTCGCGGCCCGGCTCCAACGCCTCCCGGATCACCCACAGTCCTCCCCCCACCCCCCTGCACCCCGCAAAGCCCCAGCGAGCCCTCGGGTCCCCGCGGGTAATTACCTCTCCCGGAGGCGGAGTGGGGGGCGGCAGCAGCAGCAGACACTTTGAGCCCGACTTTCCGGCGTTCCCGGGGAGCGTGTGCGCGCCGAGCAGAGCCGTGACCTGCTATTTATAGAGCGGAGCCCGGCTCCCGGGGCTGCGAACCCGGAGGCTGCGGGCGGCGCGGGGCGCGGGGCGCGGGCCGCGGCTTCCAGAGGCTGCGAGGCTCCCGCCACTCCCTCGGGCTCCCGCTCTCGCCGCGCTCCCCGCTCGCTCCCCGCCCGCCCCGCCGCGCGCGCCCCGGAGAAGTTGTCACCGGCGCGGCCGCCTCTCCCGCGGCTCACACGCCCCCTGGCACAGTCGCTACTTTCTCCCCTACCCCCGCCCGCCCGGTTCCCTTCCTCCCCGCTGCACGTTCCTCGCGGTCAATGTCACCGGCGGCCGAGGAGAGGCAGCTCGTCCCCGGCTCCCGATGGAGTGGAGTTGGCGCCCCAGCCGCCTGGCCGAAAAGACCCAAACACGCTTCCTCCGTGCGCTGACCGCACTCCCCTGACCCTGTGCTAGGCCCTCCGCGTGCGGGGAAGGGGGCCCGGTCCCGGGTGGGAGAGCCCCGCTGCGGAGTGGCGGCGAGGGGTGACCCGAGACCCCGCTCTGCGGCCGGGTCGGGGAAAACCACGGGGTTCTGTGCCGGGCGGGAGGAGGGCACAGGCGGCGTTAGACCCGGGAGGGGGTTGAGGCCGGGGTGGAGGGGAGCGATGACCCCAGTTCCTCGGTCCTCTGCCTGCCACCACCCTGGGACACGTCTCCCAGCCGCTCCTTCTCCGCGGGGATAAGTCTGGAGGGAAAGACCTGGCGCCGGCTCAGCGCAGCCCACGGCCACCCACCGCCATCCCCAGGTCCCGGCTGCTGACTGGGGCCCAGCCAATCCCAACAAGCGTGTGCGCCTTTGGCAGCCCGAGTGCGTGGGACAAATTGCACCCTGCGTGTTTAGAGTGTCAGGAAAACGGGGTACGTAATCACACAGTCTGAATGGAGGCTCAAACTCCCCCACTTCCTCGCAAACAGCCCACAGAGGAAGGCAAGCAGCCTGATTATTCCCGGCTCTAGGGTGTGGGGCAAATGAGCGTCCCCATCTGCGCCTTACAGGTGCCACCTGGCGGTTCTCTTGGAGAGGTTTTAACTGGGCGGCTCAAAGATCATGCAGGTCGCCAGTCCACACAGGCACCCTCAGCCTTTCCCTCCCTAAGGGCTCCTGGAAATTCATATTTTAAATAAAGGGGTGATCTTGCTAGTAGACACAGGCTACCTTTGCCAGGCAGAGACTGGAATCCCCAAATGAGGATGGTGAAGTCGATTTGGGTTAAGTCTGTATTGACAGTTACCCAAAATAGGAAGCTGTAGCTGTCCCCAGCTGTCACCCCTGCTGTCACTTCCTGGATCTAGGCATCCATTCCCTCCAAACATCTAACTGCCACCAGGTTAGAAGCTTTATCAATGGGGGCAGAGACTTTGGTGTTGTTGTTTTTTTGTTTTCCCCTCAGTCTTCCTCAGAGATTGGAACAATGCCTAACATGCTGTAGTTGCCATAAATGTTTATAGAACGAATTAACAAACACTATGGGCCGGTGACTGTGCTTGTCCCATTTTCTCCCCTAGTTCCTGAAGCCCTTCTTTTTCCTTCTCTTCGGGCTGTTTCTGCTGTGCTCAGCCACCATCGCGGGTGAGCTACATGGAGAGAAGGAGGGTGAGTGACAAACAGTCCCTGCAGGACTGTGGGCAGATGGCTCCAACTTGAGAAGCCCCTTGGGCAGATGTCTCCTCCATGGGGCAGGGCTGATGTACCCATTTTGGAAAAACACCCATAAAACTTGGGGCTTGAAACAATGGATAAATCCTGTTTGTAGAAGTCTATCAAGATTATACAGCTTTCTCATTGGGCAAGACTTTCAGACGTTATATTTATTTTATTGATTTCAGAAAGGAAGGGAGATAGAGAAACATCAATGATGAGAGAGAATCACTGATCAGCTCCCTCCTGCACACCCCACACTGGGTATTAAGCCCTCAACCAGGCATGTGCCCTAACCAGGAATTGAACCATGACCTCCTGCTTCATAGGTTGACACTCAACCACAGAGCCACGCTGGCTGGGCTGTTTCAGCCTTTTCTTAAAAATATAAGATTGAAAGAATATTAGAACATCACAGCCCTAGCTGGTTTGGCTCAGAGGATAGAGCCTCGGCTTGAGGACTAAAGAGTTTGATTCCAGTCAAGGGCACATGCCCGGGTTTCAGGCTCCATCCCCAGTAGAGGGCGTGCGGAAGGTAGCCAATCAATGATTCTCTCTCATCATTGATGTTTCTATCTCTCTCTCCCTCTCCCTTCCTCTCTGAAATCAATAAAAATATATTTTAAAATTAATTTTAAAAATTGTGGGGGTTTTTAAGAGAATATCACGGTGCCAGACCTTTGTCACTATATTGAAAAGTTGTTTAGCATATCTGTCCTCTTTGTGTGAGTGTGTGTGTGTGTGTGTGTGTGTGTGTGTTTATGAAGACTGCCACAGTGCTGTAATAAGCCATTTCTTCTAAAAGACAGAGGTATAAAAGATACAGCTACTGTCCTAACACTCAACATGAGATACCCAGAAAACCCCCTTAAAATTAAAATCCAGACATCATGCTGATCAAGACCTTTTCTAGGGATGCTGAGGAAAATGTGATGTGCCTATGTGTATCATCTAGGAAGTTTAAATTTGGGAGGTGGTGGTGAATAAGAGGGAGGGAAGGATATGAATCAGATGCATGTACTGCATGGTATTTTAAAAATCCATCTATCACCTGGTGTTTACCTTTTTTAGTTATTTGGCAGAGTTTTCCTCGAATAAGCCTAGAGGATTCAGATGTTTCTATGGTTTATTAAACTCATTCAGCATCCATTTTTACAAACCTTAAGCTTTTAGTCATGTGTGCCCCCAGCACATAACTCCATTTGCTAAAGAAGGACAAAATATTTTTCATTTCCTTCTGAAATATCTTTGTAGGGCCAGAAGCCAAAGGTGATTCCCACTAGTTACCTTGCTGTCTAAAGCACTAAAATCAAGCCAGGATCTGCAGCACTGGCATTACACCCTCCTTGTTAGTGACATAGCTCATACTTTCTCATTGTAGAGTCATTGTTCCTGGAGAGTTTTACTTCAGGTGACAGTGCTATGGCATAAGGAGGACTCAACATTTTTATGATCCTTCACTACTAAAAATCTCTTCTAAAATATAGCACCAAGTATGACATAGGCACTTCTTTATTCCACAGTTGTTCGTTTATATTAACAGTAACTTTGTAGATCAAGTCATTGCTTTCATCCCAGTTTTTAAGAATTTAATATTGGAAAAATTAAGCTTTGATATGCATACCTTAAGATTACCACTTGCTTGTATATGTGTGTATTCATATGAATGGGAGATGTTCTTAGTAAACTGAAGAAAGAGGGGGGAATTATTGTATAGGTACCTACCTGGTTGTCCCTAGAATTCAAGAACAGGAATGCAGCTGGGTATCGGTGACAACTTGAAAACAGGGACATGCCATTGGACTTTATCTCTCCCTTTCCCCACTACAATCACTGCTCTGTCCTTTCTCTCTCCCACCTCTTGCCCTCACTCTCGCTCACTCCATACAGACTGTCTGCTTCTCTACTGTGCATTGAGTTGCATGGTTACTAACAGCACAGCTCTTGAACTTCATAATCTATGGGCCAGTTCCAAATTTTCAAAGATACCAGAGCTGTCGAACGTCTGTCCAGACAACCAGGAAATGGAAATGAAGCTGTATTCTCATAGCAGCTCCTGTCATAAGCAGGTGGGTAGTGGTGGTACACTGAGACAGGGGAGAAGGGATAAAAATGCCCAGAATGTGGGGAGGAGGATAGGTCGTTCCTGACCACTAGTGTCTCCTAATCCTTGTTCTGTGAATACCAGTACGAAAGGCAGAGGGGAAGGGAGGAGAAACCTAAGGAGCAATGATGTCTGTGTGTGTGAGCCCAGGTGCATGTTTAAATGAGGTCTGAGGTAGAATGCCCCTGGCTGAGGATGGTGCCCTGAGATGACTTGTCCCAGCCCAAGTAACAAGATGATTTTCTGATCTCTCAGCATGGGACTGGATGAGCATGAAGAAGGAATCAAGTATTTCACAGTTTATTTTAGCTTCATTTTTCATGGCAAACTAAATAAGAGATTTTTTTAAGGTAAGGAAATGAGGGTGATACCATTTATATTTATTGAAGATAAACATTCTGTTCTCATTTACATAATAGTTACATGTCTAAAATGTATATAAATTATATATTTGAAAGTGAATCATTTTCTAAAATAATAGGGTTGTGAATCTTAACATTTTTGTAGCCATCAACCCCTTTGAGAATTTGAAGAGAGCTATGGACTCTCCCCAGAAAAAAATATACGAGCAGATGCGCATACATTTATGGTAGGATAATATATATGACATATTTACTTCAGATCTGGAACTTCAACATCATTCTTTTGTCTTCTCCAATCACCCCCACTTGAGCAAGTGGAACAAGGACTATAGATTCTTGAACAAAAGATTCAAAATGCTAAGTAGGTTAAAGCCAAAACTTTGGTGGGAGCAGAGGTGCCGGAGCATATGTGAACCTGGGGAACGGGTTTCCTCCTACCACCCCTGCCCAGAATGAGACATAAATGAACTATGGGTAAGAAGACAAAGCCCTTAGAAGTAAAGGAGAAAACTGCAATGTCAGGAAGGATGTTGTATTTGTTTGCTAGGACTATCAGAACAAAATACCATAGACTGGCTGGCATAAACCAGAAATGTATTCCTCACAGTTCTAGAGACTGGACGTCCTTTATCTACAACTCAAAATTTGTCCCAGAGCTATTTGTCAACACCTGTGAAAACTAACACACTTCTGAAGAATCTGGCTAACGTCTGTGCCATGGAAGAAGAAATTTTTCCAGAGAGCTTGGAATGGGAACTCTCACAAACCCACTTCCTCTAACTCCCCGTTTATCTTTCCAATTCTCTTTCCTAATCAATTTAACAAGCACTCATTGAGTACCTACTATTTACCAGGAATTGTGCTGAAATCTGGGAATAAAAAGGTGAAGGCAGCATTAACTTTATCTTCAGAGAGCACATCATTTAGAGTTGATTTTCCTAAACATATTGTTTATTATTTAGTTACTACTCAATTTACTTCAACATTACATTTAATGAATATCTAGAACACACAAG